CAAGTGGCTAAACGACTTCGGCTATTTCGTTAGTTAGTTAGTATCGTCCTCCTGTCTAGGTGTGGGCGCCCTGGCAGTATCCCAGCCCTCGTACAACCATGACCTACACAACTAACAATATTCTCATGCCACATCGGCCGTCGCGTGGTGCCATCAGCCGGGTCGCCTTACTTGCTGCATACAGCAGGGCGGGTAAGCGAAAACATGCTGTTGGTCAAACACCTGTTGTACATCCTATGCATGTAAGGGCCGCGTTTTTCATCCGTAAGGCACCGTGGATCGTGCTGTTATAGCATATACTTCACCTTCGAAAACCATGTCACGGCGACACCATAATAGGTGTTGGAGGTTGGTAAAAGCCGCATAACCTTCCCGGTTCGATACCTGACCTCGTTTTCATTTTTCCTGAAACTATACAACTGCTCTGGTAATTAAAATCCATCCACCACATCGTTGCCCCCAAGCGTCCAGTCTTGTAGCTGTATTCTACACCGTATAAGTGTGAAGCTCACACCAAATCACACGGCGGAATCAGGTTCTTTAAAATGGGTTGCATCTCTGAAGGAACCAGAACTAAGGGGAGCAATATCTTCTGTATATTCACTATCGGTAAGTGGATGCTGCGGGAGGATTTCGTTCTCCGAGCGTGAGCTAGAAGCAGGGAAGTTTGAAGCAGCGCATCAGAAACAAAGTTGAATAGCATTGGTGAGTTCGGGGAGCCTTGTCTTATGCCACTGGAGGCGGTGACTTCAACCGAAATCTTGCTGTACGCACCTGTACGCACCCAAAGGAGTTGGCCTATAGTGCATTTATGAGGGATGAAAATTCAGTAAGGATCGTCAAGCATAGCCATAGTCTCTGACGGTTTGTAGAGTTGAAAGCAACCTTTAGATCAAGAACATCCGACCATCATTGGACTTTCGAAAGTCTGATGCTGTTAAAAAACCTGTCTTACTTTCAGGGTTTGGTGGATGCATTCTCGAACAGGGCGAAACCCAATTCTTTCCTCACAAATTTGTCTCTCCCGGTTATCGGTCCACTTGCGATAATTATGGCCTGAGACAATCTTGAGTGCTATGCTTACTAGGATGGTGGGCTGGTTTTCATATGAATTTCTTGCACCCTGCCTGGGGCACTCCATTTCACCGGTGTTCTGCTTTCGTCCCCTGAAGGAATCGGATTTTCGGACATAGATCTTGATCAGCTATCTAACCGTCTGCGTTTCATGAACGTTAGTTGGTTTTGACATATGTGTTTCCACAGAAGACACCAAACTATTAGACGTTCATTTATGAGATAATTCGATCGAAGCGTACATGTTTCTTTACAAGCCTTTCACGCATTTGGTGTTTCTTCATCTTGGATAGCTTCCCACTCCTGACTGGATGTAGTATAGCTCCTCCAAGATGGGCCACGACGAGAGTTGGGTAAGAAGCCATCGCACAAGTGGTTCTGTTCGGTTGAAGCACCACCGAGCAATAGCTGATGAAAAAGATCTTAGGAATGTCATCTGTTTGGAGGATTCTCTTGAGATTTTTTCGCTTGTTCTGTATCGAGCCCCTCTGATCACCGATTATCTTTAGAGATGATTGGCGCCCAAGGTGACACTTAGATACACTCAATTTTTTCGTTTGACTATGAGGTTTGATCCTGAATTTCTTCATATTACAGTTTGCATGAAACAATCTCCTCTCTTGGATACACCTCCGAAAAGAATTTTCCCACTTCAAACGCCAACGAGCCATATGGAATCTTGTCTATAGTAATATCTACCATAGCCAGGAACTATGAACCATGATCCACTCACTTGCCTGGATTGGTATATATAAGATTCGTCTTCATCTTAGTTTTATTGGTTCTATGATCTTTGTTTTCGTTCAGCAACCAAAACGTCATTTACTGTTTATGTGTGCTCTGCCATGAAATTATTTCCCTCTTTTCAGCGTCAAGATTAGCCTCGGTAGTTTGGAAGCATTAGGCGCTTGCCCTTCTCTTGAGCAGGCCAAATTGGCTCGTTCTTCGAACCGCCCGTTGATAATCAGCAGTTCTGCAGTGCAGCTGTCATCGGAACAAACTAAACATGAAATTGCAGATAAACACGAGGAATTACTGCTTGTGGAGTTTGAGAAGAATCCACTGGATCGGCGGGCAGATCAACGGGCTCTTGTACGCGCTTCACCCTTGCAAATTGTTTATGATGCTGAAACTATCAACAAGATTGTTCACTTCCTGACCCCTCCCAAAGATATTCGCTTACAAGAGTGAGTCTGTATCCTCATCAGAGGGTTTCAAGTTGTCGCTAATGGAATCACTCTCCAGCCTCTAGCACTGTGTAGTAACTGGTAGGCATCGCTTTTGCTGCATTCGGTCCGGCATTGCACGTGAATACGAACTACTCGGTTGCGGCATTATCTTTTTGCATCAGTAGTATCTGTCGCCGCGCAGGCATTGCTGTTCCACTTTGGTCCCTTCAAAGCCATGTCCATTTGACCAGTAGAAATGTCACCTTAGCGTCAGTTTAGTCTGGATGCGGTACTCGGCTGCATATATTTCGACGCCGCTTATAAGGGTTAAAGACCCTGGCCTTTACCGTTGAATTTCAGGTTTCAAATATTTTTTACAGCGCGTAGTCAACTTTCTGTCCCTTCTCACCTGAGTTGTCTGTCTGGTCGTATGAAACTCGTGCTTGGATGGTCGCTCTTAATATACTCTTGTCGACAGTGGTACTCTTTTATACAACAGACTAGCTGTACAGCTGTCTTCATTGCACATAGCCAAACTCGTTCTTTACATATACGCATGTTTTTTTTACGGATTCAGGCTGATGAACTCAATTATTTGTTGCTTCCATTTATGGCTGACTTTACTTTTTCCCCCCTGCATTCGCACTGTCCTCAGACTATCGAGTCAGGTGATGTCTTCTCTTGAAGATGTGAAGGAAGTGACGGTGAGTGGCCTGAGACATCTGGTCAGTCAAAGGGCGTATACTGAAGTTCAGATCGATGTTCGTCCCAGTTACTTCATTCTTCCAGATAACGGTGTGTTTAGAAGGTGGGTCGTGATTCGGACAACTACTGACCTTAAAATGCCTTGTGTCAAAGACTAGCCACGCGAATTTGTCCCACTTTCGCTATAGGCTATTTTGTACGCTACTCTCGAACTGTTACATTTAACTCATACCATGTCCTCTGGATTTCAGAGAGTGCCGTCTGCTGCTTGTGGATTTGGGCAGCCTAACTGTTCGATCTAGCCCGACCAAATCACAGCAGAAGCTGGCACTGAAAAAAGGGGAGAGTGAAGTCCCGATTGGTACGGATGCCTTGGCATCGCTTGGTCCTCAGTCTCGGAAAGCAGCACACCCCACGTTTGAGGAACTTAAGGAAGATGCGTACGATGTTTACGCGATAGCTATTTCCTCGATGCAAGTGATCATGGTGGAAAAGGGTGAGTGGTTTACTTTGAGTTTCAGTTGTGCTGCAAGTTATGCTGTGTCGAATTTTTTTCGTTCATTGTGTTTTTTTTCTGAATAGACGAAGACTGGCGTGTTTTGCGTGAGAACAACAAGTCACCGAGTCATGTTCTTCGACCGTTGGGGATGAACTTCAACTTGAAGCGTTGTCTCCTTCACAATGATATCAATTTGCCCGGGTGGGTTGAATTTTTGAATTTCCTTCAATCGAGTTACCAGCCCTAGCCCACCAGAGATGTAGAAGGAAGTTCTTTGTTTCAGAAAAGTTCGGGATACATTTAGTGAATTTATTGTTTTCCGAAATTTTCTGGAATGCCGATTTCGTTAACCATTTTAGACTTTTTTTTGTATCGAAAATCAATTCTTAATCTCATTCAATCTATACTTCATTTATTGTTGAACGCCCTGGGATACCCATAAAGCTGGGTTCACAGCGACCATGCAAGGATGACTTTTTGGCATATATTCAACCAAGCAAATTGCGAAACGTTTTATAGACATGACTGAATGAAAACCGCGTAACCTTGGTTGACCTTGATGGTGTGTTACAACCTACCCAAAATGTACCGGTAGCGTGGTTCACAAGGCTCGGACAACTGATCAGACCTAGGTTAGTCCGTGTGAGAGCGGTGGTGGATCAGTTGCGCGCATCAAGTCCGTTGCTCAAGTTAACACCGATAGATGAAGACCGCCCCGTGGTGACATTGAATGTCCACTCGGTAGTCTATGTCCCGAGGGAGCAAAACGAACGGGCGTACAGATGGTTAAACGGCCGCTGTAGTCATGCCCGGATGGACCACGTGACCCAAGTTCTGTCAGTCGCTTTAGTTGCTCCCTGAGTAGCGCTCCCATTTCAGCTTTTGGGTAGGCCGTGCTGTGTGCTCACATGAGGTGTTTTTCACTTGACTGTTTTGGCTGGAAAATATTCTTGCAATTCGATCGCTATGACCCTGTCTTTTTTGTAACAGCCGTTTCGAAATGAATCGGGGGGGGGGGGGGTCTTGTACGGGCCCGTCC